AGACATACAGGCATACAGACATACAGACATACAGACATACAGACACACAGACACACGACATACAGTCATACAGACATACAGACTTACAGACATACAGACATACAGGCATACAGACATGCAGACTTGCAGGCATGCAGACATGCAGACATACAGACATACAGACATACAGACATACAGACATACAGACATACAGACATACAGACATACAGACATACAGACATACAGACATACAGACACACAGACATGCAGCCATGCAGACATAAAGACATACAGACATACATACATACAGACATACAGACATACAGACCACAGGCCTGCCGGCCGCAGAATGCCGACATTTACAGACATTACAGACATGTATAAAGACATAAATGACATACAGACATACAAGACATACAGGGCATGAGCCATGCAGAAATGGAAGAAAAATGAGACATAACAGGACATACAGAACCTACCGACACCTCCCGACATCCGCCCTTACAGATACAGACATACAGCCATACAGGCATACAGACATACAGGCATACAGACATACAGACATACATACATACAGGCATATAGAGACACAGACACACAGACATGCAGACATGCAGACACACAGACATGCAGCCATGCAGACATAAAGACATACATACATACATACAGACATACAGACATACAGACATACAGGCATACAGGCATACAGACATACAGGCATACATACATACAGACATACAGACATACAGACATACAGGCATACAGACATGCAGACTTGCAGGCATGCAGACATGCAGACATACAGACATACAGACATACAGACATACACACATACAGGCATGCAGACATACAGACATACAGACATACAGACATGCAGACATGCAGACATGCAGACATGCAGACACACAGTCATACAGACATACAGACATCATACAGACATACACACATACAGACATACAGACATACAGACATACAGACGTACAGGCATGCAGACATGCAGACATGCAGACATACAGACATACAGACATACAGACATACAGACATACAGACATACAGACGTACAGACATACAGACATACATACATACATTCAGTCATACAGACATACAGTCATACAGACATACAGGGATACAGACATACAGACATACATACATACAGACATACAGACATACAGACATACAGACATGCAGACATACAGGGTACAGACATACAGACATACATCCACCCCCCCCCCCTAAATACAGAATACAGGGACATTTAAGACTACATAATGAAGATATGCAGACATTCAGACAGACATACACACATACAGACATACAGCCAACAGTCATACCGACATGACGACATACCAGGTCATACAGACATCCGACATACAGGGCATACAGACATTACAGGACATACAGAAATACAGACATGACAGACATACAGACATGTACAGACACACAGACACACAGAATACAGAACATACAGACTACAGACATACAGACATACAGGCATACAGAAGGCAGGACAGCAGACATGTGGACACAAAGACATAACGACTTAAAGACCATCAGACATACAGGCATACGGACATGCAGACATGCAGACATGCAGACATACAGACATACAGACATACACACATACAGACATACAGATACAGACATACAGACATACAGACATACAGACATACAGACATACAGACATACAGACATACAGACACACAGACACACGACATACAGTCATACAGACATACAGACTTACAGACATACAGACATACAGGCATACAGACATGCAGACTTGCAGGCATGCAGACATGCAGACATACAGACATACAGACATACACACATACAGACATACACACATACAGACATACATACATACAGTCATACAGACATACAGTCATACAGGCATACAGGGATACAGACATACAGGCATACAGGCATACAGACATACAGACATACAGACATGCTGGCATGCAGACATACAGACATACAGACATACAGTCATACAGACATGCAGGCATACACACATACAGACATACACACATACAGACATACAGGCATACACACATACAGACATACACACATACAGACATACATGCATACAGTCATACAGACATACAGTCATACAGACATACAGGGATACAGACATACAGGCATACAGACATACAGACATACAGACATCCATACATACAGACATACAGACATGCAGCCATACAGACATACAGTCATACAGACCTAAAGTCATACAGTCATACAGTCATACAGGCATACAGACATACAGACATACACACATACAGTCATACAGTCATACAGACATACAGACATACAGACATGCAGACATGCAGACATGCAGACATGCAGACATACAGGCATACAGACATACAGACATACAGGCATACAGACATACAGACATACAGACGTACAGACATACAGACATACAGACATACAGACATACAGACATACAGACATACAGACATACACGCATACAGACATACAGACATACAGACATCCAGACATGCAGGCATACAGACATACAGACATACAGACACACAGACATACATACATACAGACATACAGACACACAGACATGCAGACATACAGACATGCACACATACACACATACACACATGCAGACATACAGACATACAGACATACAGACATGCAGGCATGCAGACATGCAGGCATACAGACATACAGGCATACAGACATACAGGCATACAGACATACAGAAATACACACATACATACAGACACACATACAGACATACACACATACCCACATACAGACATACAGACATACAGGCATGCAGACATGCAGACATACAGACATACAGACATACAGACATACAGACATACAGTCATACAGACATACAGGCATAAAGACATACAAGCATACAGGCATACAGACATACAGGCATACAGACATACAGGCATACAGACATACAGACGTACAGGCATGCAGACATGCAGACATGCAGACATACAGACATACAGACATACAGACATACAGACATACAGACATACAGACATACAGACATACAGACATACAGATACAGACATACAGGCATACAGACATACAGACATACAGACATACAGACATACAGACATACAGACATACAGACATACATACATACAGACATACAGACATGCAGAGATGCAGACATGCAGACAGACATACAGACATACAGACATACAGACATACAGTCATACATTCATACAGTCATACAGACATACAGACATACCGACATACAGACATACAGACATACAGACATACAGTCATACAGACATACAGACATACCGACATACAGACATACAGACATACAGACTTACAGACATACAAACATACAGACATACAGACATACAGAGATACAGGCATACAGACTTACAGACATACAGACATACAGGCATACAGACATACAGACATACAGACATGCAGGCATACAGACTTACAGACATACACACATACAGTCATACAGACATACAGACATACAGACATGCAGACATGCAGACATGCAGACATGCAGACATACATACATACAGACATACAGTCATACAGACGTACAGACATACATACATACATACATACATACATACATACGTGTATATGTGTATTCACGTCGCTTCGCGACGGCAACCGCCCGCACCGCATCGTTGGGCAGCCGCTCGTAACTGCCAATGATGTCGGCCATTGAGACCAAAAAACATCCGAAAGTAATGATTGTCGGAAAAAAAACGCGAAGAATTTGATAGCCATGTATAGCGGACCAACGCAGTTCAAAAAATAACGAAAAACATGAAAAAACGGCGAAATTGCTGTTATTTACAGTGTTTTTGCGCGGTGAGAAGCAGAAACCACTGCAAATACCATGGTTTTTGAGGGTCAGGTGGCCAAAAACACTGTAATTTACAGTGTTTTTTTAACCAACGTCAAAAAACACTGGTATTTACGATGTTTTCATTCACACCGTAACATAAAACAGCGTAATTTACGAGGTTTTTGGAAGTTTTGAAGCTAGCCGTCAAGCATGCAGAAAACAGAAAAACACTGTAAAAACCAGTGTTTCTGCTATCACAAAACGACGAAAATCAGTCCGAAAACGGGTCCAAAAACTCAAAAATCCGCCTCCGGGCCAGGCCACCTGCGGAACCGCAAAAAAAGATGTTGCAAACCAAAAAATTGAGGTCAAAAAGTTGAAAAACACGGTTTTTTTTTCACTTTTCGCTTGCCGATTTTGGACGGGCGCGTTCACGAACAGGTGTCTTCCGTACTGTTTTTTACAGTGTTTTTTGAAGGCGAGCGTCACGACCTATCAAAAACAGGGGGTTTTGGCCGAAAAATGCCCCCCCCCCCAGGTAAACCTGTAACCTTTTACGAGTGCCATCCGGAAGATCACGCCCCAGCACCTTCGGTGCGGGCGGATTTATATATGTAAAACACACTTTTTTCATGGATAAAAATCACTATCTACATATCTTCCTGCGTTAAACTTCCGTTCCTTTCCAGGATCGCGATCCGGCCTCCACCTTGGTGGCTCCAGCCATGCGAATTCACGTGGGCCTCCCAGGAGGACTTGGAAATCCCATATTTTTGTGAGAAAATGTAGGGATTATAGGGCAATTTTCACCTATGAAATTCCATGAAAAGACGGGTTAACTTGTTTTTTGTCCGGTTTTTTTTTGAAATGGCGATTGTTTGTCTTAGAACTAAGGCAGCATCTAGGTGTCGATTGAGATGCTCTGGCCTAGGAAATCCCTTGAGAGACAAGCGATGCCACTTTCCAGATGGTTTGTAAATGCCCAGTTCGGTAAACACTATGTATTTGTACGAATGTAGATATATTTCCAATATATATATATATATTTACAGTGTATATATATGTATTCCCCAAGTAAGTCTTGATGCTATATATATATATGTATATACTTCAACATTCTACCCATGTGCATTTGGACAGACGACGTGAGGAAGTTACGGCAGAACTTTAACAGGAGATGATGTGCTCATTGTTCCAGAGCTGCAACTCGGCGACGGCTGGGAGAGAGGAACTTGGGGGTTATATTCCAGTTTCTCTGGGTTATCGTATCATGAGTTAGGAAGCTCACACACACATGTATATACGTACCCATCACTAAGCCCAACCGCACCCCCAGAGGAAATGTCAAGATAGCACAAGGAGAAGAGATTTGCCGGCATGTCATGGCATGTCAACATATGAAAACTAGAAACGGATTCTCAAAGTGATGTTTTCATAGTGCTATGACATTGCCATGTTGATCGGTAGTTCCCGTACGTGACACCGGGGCACACCGGGGCACACCGAAGACCCAAGGCTGTGTGCTCAAGAGGAGCTGAGCCTCTATCATAGCATAGTGCAAGAGATCCAGAGCGCTCAAGAAGAAGGGGTGAAAGATACCAAATGGGCTTCCTGGAAGGCTGGATGGGCTGGATATATGGATATATGGCTAGACATGCGGCCTAGATTCAGGGATTTTTCATCTATAATGTTGTTTCTTGTCAATCACCAGCACCATGAAAATCAACGCCTAGGGGTTTGCAGTGGTATGATATCATCTCCGAGTATGATTCATGTGCCCAAGAAGGAGTCACAACCTGAAGTTTTGAACGCTGATATATGCTGATATAAACTACATTTACATCCAGTCACATCCCAGCAGCCACGGATGAGGATGGCTGTCATCTCATCAACAAGGCCCCGGAGTGCTCGGAGGCATACCGAACAGCAGTGGCAAAGATCATTGCATACTTCAGGACCGCATTCGAAACCATTTTTCGGGCTCCTACAGTCCTACACGTTTTTGCCGGCAAAAAAATCTGGGTTGTTACAGTATTCACTGTTTTGGTCAAGGATGCTGAGCAGCTGGAACAAGAACCCACACTTGCCAAATGACCCCGGTGGCTTCAAGTCACGAAGAAATCGTTCGAAATAATATTACAAATGGGACGCCCTGGATAGCTAAATTATTGCTATTTATTGGTTTAATATTGGTTTACATATAACTACAACAACAATGGTTTATATTAAGATATATTAAGTTTATATTGGTCTATGGTGTTGATGAGACTTATTGGTCTACGCTATGGTGATGGGGTTCATTTTTTCCAACAAACATCACCGAGGGGCCCAGGCGCCACACATTCTCGGCGCCCTTTCCCAGGATCTCAGAGGCATCCGTCTACTCGCGCTTCAACTGGTATGTCCCGGCAGCTGTGTTTCCGGCGATATCAGGGAAAGACCATGAAAGACCTCCAACCTCCCAACATGATGTACCCGGAATGAACCCCTTTGAGGTAAACGAGCGAGGCTATGAACAATTGCCATTTATAGTTGATTTACTTGTTAAAAAGGATGCCTTTCCATAGCTATGTTAGTTTACCAGAGGGTCATATGACGAGGATCTCAATCCCACATGATTATGCACTCTACGGAATAAAATCTGGTAGGGCAACGAGACAGAAGTGAACATGTGTCAGCGGATTTGCAAGTTAGTTCTCGTGATCAAGGATTCCATTGTGATACATGTCCGGGGTTCTTGTCCTCACATAGGTTGAATTTAAAGATATATATATTTTTTGGTGATACTTGTTGTGGAACTTTGCGCTATTGTATCCACAATTAAGTAATTGGTTTAGAGCCGTTTCAGATCCTGTTCACGTCTTTTGGTCTTGAATCTATCTGGCCCAGATGTTGATTTGATATCAAGCCACCTATCAAAGGTCTTTACTCAGCCAACACCCAGGGGGTTCAAACAGAGCTCCGGTCACTGGGCAGTGCCGCAGTGCAGGTGAATGGTGCTGACTGGAAACCTTTGCATCATGATACGGCCGCTTTTAGTCAAAGACGCCTTGGAAAGCAGAACATCACGGTTGGAGTCTCCCTTGGAGGCGGGCAATACTTCGCGAAAGGCACAACCAGCCATAGTGCCTTATGTAACCTTATGTCAACAAGATGGAAACCTTCGGGTGCCTTGAGTTGCAATATATCCACATATATTATATATATATCCATACAATCAGCAAGTTAGATCCAGTTAGATGATCTGTCGAATATAGAAGGTCGAGCTCTCCAATCGACTCCCCACAGGTGAGCGGGAACTTGTATTTCGCCACGTCCAGCATGGCACATTGGCATATTTTCCGCAGCCTAATGGGATGGCATTCTCTTTTGGTCGACGGTCCCATGGCCAGACTTGTCATGTTGGCTGCTTGGTGTGCTGGGCGAACAGCTTGTCAGACTAAGAATCTAAGAAGTTCCAAACAAAAACATATTTTTAGGGGTGTATGTTCAATACGGCAGAGCCAGGTCCTTTGGTAGCCCGTTACACACTGGCAATCCATTGTGACAACTTGTGCCTTTTGTGGGAATTGACTCCTCTCGTTGCCAGCTTGACGAAACAAGAATCTAGCCTGATCCAAGTTAATCCTTAATGATTACCCGGTTTACGGATTAGCGGTTTACGGATTAGCCCGCGGTGGCGGAAGTTTCCCTTACAGAACTAAAAACCGCCAGCCCCAAACAAAGGGAGCGGAGGAAGGAAGCGCAAAGAGCAAAGCACATTGGTAACACAAAGCTCTGGCCAAGCACCGCTGGAAACGCAACACTTTGGTCGCACCACCGCCTTGCAGAACGGACCCGGTAGGATTCGAACTTCTAACCTTCGCCACTAGATTGCCCAGCCACAATGCAGGATGCTGACGTATTAACCACTAGACTACGGGGCTCGGTGCTTCTAGTACAGCGCCGGGCTGCCAATTGCTAATCGTGGCCCCCCGGGGGCGGAGAAGAAAGATGTAAGCACTGTGGCGCTGACGGTGCTGGTTGGCTGCTCCTGCTGCGGCTTTTGCTCCTGCTGGGCTGCTGCTGGGTGCTCTGCTGGCTGCTTGGTTCTGGTTCCTGGGTTCTGGTTCCTGGGCTGGTTGCTTTGGTGGCTGGCCTGCTGCTCGGCTTTGCTGGGTTCCGGGGACAAGGAAAGGGACAGGGAAAGGGAGGCAGCCGTCCTATCTATGCTTTAAACCGGATTACGGATTAGGTCTCGGATTACGGATTCGACTCTTTGGGGCTTCTGAGACGGATTCCGGGATTACGGATTAAGGTAAGGCCCGCGAGCATTTGGTACAGCTTAGAGAATGCGTTTTCTTTTTTTAGATGCATGAGTTTGTTCTTTTTGAGGGTTCGTATTCACAATGGGCCAAGTTGAGGAGGACATTTTTGTTATCGAACAAACAGGCATTACGGCCGGACCAGTGTCACCAAAGGCATTCCTGCAAATCTGGACATGACATGTATGAAGTAGGCTGTTTGATCGCATGTTGCTCCCGAGGGGACCCAGAACAACATGATTATTCAGTTGTCTCAGCAGAGTGCCACTATGATCCAATATATATATATGTATGTTGTTTGAAGGTGTTTGTTTTGTTTCATCGCTTTGTGGTTAGTTTTCGTGCCAAAAACACCTGTGAGGATTAATAGTTTCCTGTTGGCGTTTTCCCAGGATTAACATCAACTGGAAACATGGCATCAACGCCTTACCTGTAGAGAAGCACCAGCAGCTGGGGCGCATTTCCATCATTCTCTGGGGCTGGTCCGACCTGGTGGACGAGGATCCAGGGGATCCAGGTGCGGTGCCGAAGGCTGAAGCGTTTCAGCGAAGCTGCAGGCAGTTTCAGATGCTGGGAGATGTTCCAGACTGGTGGTTTCTACTACTTTCATTTGATGATAGGCAATGATAGGTAAACAAACGACAATCATTCATTACCCTCAGATGTTTGAGATGATCCTCAGTTCTATAACCAATGTTTTTGGGATTGAAACCACCATCAGGAAAATTTCTGGAGGCCACTCCCCAGGGTTGTTTGATTAGTCTGTGGGCGACTAGCGCCACATCGTTTTGGGTATGGGTCTCAATGTATCCAAAATTAAGGCCGGACGTTGGTCCATGTTCAGCAAGCCATGCCATTCTGGGGTGTCCAATTTTGACCCGTACTTATATCATCAACGTTTAACTTCAAGGATCTTTAGAGTGTAGATGTGATGAATAGATGTAGATGTGATGAATAGATGCCATCCTTGGGCTTAGGAAGTCAAATGGTAGAGCTAAGGGTCTCCAATCTTGTTTCTGACAGAGCCAAACCCAGTTGGATCTCATTGGAGAATCTAAATCTACTTAGGATGTCATTCCAATCGTTCCTGACAGATGTAGTCTATGTCGTTCCTTGCTGTGGTTTTCAGCCTTACCCCTTTGATCCCCTTTGTACTTCATGCACCTTGCATCTTCTTCTCCTGGACCTGAGGAAAGGAAAGTGTACCTACGGCGACCGGTGCAAATTTACCCACGTTGACGAGCCAGCCGAGACAGCAATGTAAGCGAGAAAGGGCGATGACTCTGCGCTTGTTGCATCACATTAAGACAAACCATAGATTCAAATCGTAACTCAGCAGGAGGAAGGCCATAATGATCCAATGAGATAGAGTGGAGATCTACAGCAATGAGATAGCTAATGACTTCACCTCAGATATGATCAAATAACTTAAGGAAGAAAAACAACAACTGGTTGGTGGTTTGGAACATTTTTTATCTTCCATTTCATATATGGGATACTCCTTCCCATTAACTTTCATATTTTTCAAGATGGTTATTGCACCACCAACCAGACAAGAAAACAGAATCCATCACATGTCCCAACGTTCAGAAGATCGGCTCAGAGCTCTGGTGCCAAGTCCCTGTGCAGCTGTTTGGAGTCCAGGGATTTTGGCATCGCAGTTTTGTAGGGGTCGGGGTAAGTTGGTTTTGGCTGCGACCAAAAAGTACAGGAGGCCACTTGGACTTGGATGCAGCGTGTTCGATGCCTTTGATTCTCTTTCATTGTTCGATTCGAAAGGGGCAGTGCTCCATCCAGGGTTTTCAGGGCGATGGAACGGTGCGAAGAAGTGCCAAATAAAGTAAAGAGAGAGAGAGAGAGAGACACAAACACACACGCTGAAAAGGTCAATCCAAATCTGAATAGTTCCACCCCCTCGCATTGCAGTATACAATGCCCTTTTTAATAAAATACAATAAAATAGTGATAGGACACTGCATAGTCCCCAATTCGAATGCAAATAGCCATGGAGGTGTGCTTCTTGGCTTCCGGAGAGACGCTGACAGTGCTTGATACACATGACTTCCAGGGCAAAACTGCAAAAACAGTGAAACAAGTGCTAGCAGCCCAGGCTGGTGTCTCCAGGTTCCGCCAAAGACTCTTCCAAGAAGATGGCTCTTGCGAAATCAAAGATGATGAAGTTTTTGACACGGCAGCGGTGAATGTCTCCTTGGTCAGGTCGGATTATTTTCCATCTGATCCTGAGCAAACCCAACAAATGGTGGCTGCATGTCGAGACAATGACTTACTTGTGCTCGAAGCGTTGCTTCAGCGGCCTTGTGACCCCAATGTTGCAGATAAAGAGGGTTGGACACCATTGCACCATGCTGTGGATGGGGGACATGTCGAGGCTTCGCAGCTCTTGCTTGAAGCAGGTGCAGACAAAGATGCGCAGGACGCTGATGGAATGACGCCCTTGTATTCGGCAGCTGCTGCTAACCATTTTGACATTGTGGCACTGTTGCTAGAAGCTGGTGCCAAGAAAGACCAACCCAATCATGGAGATGTAACGTCACTCTATATTGCAGCCGAGAATGGACATTTGGAAAGTGTGCGTTTGCTTGTTGAAAGTCGGGCAGCCATCGATCACCCGCTAGGGCCGCTAGGGCAAGGAGAAACACCATTGATGGCTGCAGCAAGCGAGGGTTACCTTGAGATCGTCAAGTTGTTGGTTGCGTTTGGTGCTAGATGCGACATTACCAAAAACAACGGGTTAACTGCTATGGATTGCGCCACGCACATGTCAAATGTTGAAATCGTTCGCTTTCTGGCGAAGCCCACGGTAGAGCACCTAGCAGAAGTGGAACGTGACGGAAAAGTGAGGTGTTTGGGGTCAGGGCTGCGAGCTGGGCGAAATCATGTCAATTACGTTTGAGCTGTTTGAGGCCCTTATGTTTTGTGTTTCCATGTTTTTCCTTTGTTCCATTTGAGCTGTGTTTTTTTTGTTGTCTGGGCCCTTATACTCCTGTGCTGCCTACGCCGCTGTCTACGCAATGCCTACGCGGCCACAGTGGAAGCCTACGCGGCTCATCCCTTTGAAGGTGTGCCTACGCAGGCCCAACGCCCGTGTAAAGCGACGCCTCAATGTACGTTTTTGCCTACGCCGTCACACTTCCGTTTGCTTTTGGAAGGTTGGAAACGGAACTTTTGCCTACGCGACCACAGTCCCATTCACATTTTTGCTAAGTGGGGTGCCTTACGGCACCCTGCACTCCCTGCAGCAGCACGAGCGCCCAGGCTCCAAAGCGCCCATAGACATCTTGCAGCCACACCCATGTGCAGCAGCCGCACCAGCAACCAGGTCCCAAAGCGCACACTAAACATCTGGTGGATAAATCATGATAAATCACTGAAGACTCAGCTAGTAACTTTTGACTATGCTGGAGTCAAGCCAAGCAATGTGTTCGACTGTCGCTAGCTTGGTGAAGGCAGTTCTGGGCGGTTCAATGTGTCGAATATGGACTGGTGCGGACGTGGGCTGGTGGTCAGTCCGGGCACCCGAGCCTACGCGGTGCCTACGCGGAGTCTACGCGAAGCCTACGCCTGTTCCAGGGGTCTCCTGGCAGGAATCTGGTGAAACATTCCTCTTAAGCAAGAGCTAATATGGCCCATCTAGCAACAAGCAGGTGGAAAGCGAAGAACATCAAGACGGTTTAAGCTGCTCCGCTGCCTTTGTATAGCTGCTCTTCCGGGGAAGTTCCACGGTTTGTTCATATAGACAACTATCCATGAATGAACCCGGTGCCTTTGAACCTTTTGTGGATAACATTGAATCAATTTTAAAGCGTGAGATTGCAACGCCGATCATGTACGAGCATTTGAAATACAATGAAATGTTGCCTACGCGAACCAGAAGATATTTGGAACCTTGAAAAATGCCTATGCCAATCCTACGCAATCCTTACGCCAGCCAGGTAAAACCACACCAAAAGCAACATCCAGTTTAACCTCTATATAAACCCTTTTATATTAAAAAAAAAACGTAGCTCATTTTGGTTGGATACAGTAAGAAATAAGAAAGACGCTTTGGTCCCTCACCTTTTGGTGGCTTGATACGTGGGGTTATTCGGTCCTTTTATGTTTATCTAATAAAATAAATCTTAATAAATAATTTCATATATATATATATAATTTTCTAATATAAATTTATTTAATGTATTTAAATAATTAATTAATAATATTACTATTATTTAATAAACATAATATAAATATAGTAATATTAATTATTAAATAATTAATATTTCTTACCTGTCAGGTGAGGGTTGTTAGATTTTATCGGAGTTGTTCTTCTCCTTTTTCTTCTCCTTCCGCACATAATGGGCACTGCTGGACCTCAACTGCAAGGGTCTGAGCGCAGTGGGCACCGCTGGGTCTCAACCTGGGACCTTCCGAGCTCAGTGAGCACCGCTTGACCTCAACCTGGGACCTTCCGAGCTCAGTGAGTACCGCTGGACCTCAACCTGGGACCCGCCGAGGTCAGTGAGCACCGCTGGACCTCAACGGCCAGATAGAATGCCAAAAGATATGCCAGATAGAACGCCAGATAGCATGTCAGATAGAATGCCAGAAGATATGTCAGATAAAATGCCAGAAAATATGTCAGATAGAATGCCAGAAAATATGCCAGATAGAATGCCAGATGGTATGCCAGATAAAGTGCCAGAATATTTGCCAGATAAAATGCCAAATAGGATATCAGAAGATATACCAGAAGATATGCCAGATAGAATCTCAGATAGAATGCCAGAAGATATGCCAGAACATATGCCAGAAAATATGTCAGATAGAACGCCAGAAGGTATGCCAGATAGAATGTCAGATAGAATGCCAGAAGGTATGCCAGATAAAGTGCCAGAATGTTTGCCAGATAGAATGCCAGAAGATTTGTCAGATAGAATGCCAGATAGGATGTCAGAAGATATGCCAGATAGAATGCCAGATAGAATGCCAGATAAAATGCCAGATAAAATGCCAGAAGGTATGCCAGAACATATGTTAGAAGATATGTCAGGTAGAATGCCAGAAGATATATCAAATAGAATGTTAAATCGAATACCAGAAGATATGTTAGATAGAATGCCAGAAGATTTACCAATAAGAAATCGATAAATATCATGGTGGAAATTATATGAAATAAATTAATTTATTTAAAATTGTTATTTATATTATTATATAAAATTTAAAAAATATCTAAATAATAATTATATAATAATAATAATAAAATATAATATAATAATATTATATTATATAATTTAAAATAATATAATATAATATTTTTGAAATCGAATTGGGTTTTAGGATTTAGATTATGAATTATAAAATATTTAAATTTATACGGTAATTTTTTTGAAATTAATAAAATTTATTTAATAATATTTATTTTTATAATGGCCTAATTATAACTAATTTGAGAATTCGCCGGGAATTATTTTATAAATATTATTTTTTTTTTTTTTAATAATATTAATATAAAATTTATTATAATTTTATTATAAACCTTAAATAACGAATTAAATTAAAATGATGGTTTTGAATCTTAATAATAAAAAATACCATGTGTTTGAGGCATGGATTCGGTTGATATAAAATAAATGTGAATTATATATGTAAAATTTTTAATAGATATTTTGGTCTTGATTAGGATATTTTTTTAGGTAACAGATTGTATTTGACCTTAATTAAATATAATTTTAGTATTAGGAAATTTCTTCGTATAATTATTTTTATTAATATTTTTAATGGGATAATACTACAAATTAAATATAATTAGATAATTAATTTCTTAGGAAAGGAATTTGATTCTTATTGGTATTATTAGGAACCTTTTCGGTAAATATACACTAATTAATTTTTATATATCGATATTATTAATTAATTTTGCCTGGTTTTGGTCCAAATATTATTTTCAGATTCCAGGTCCAGGTATATGCGGATATCTCCCAGATAATATATATCGTATTTATATAATAATTGTAATTATTTTTTTTGCCTAATTTTAATATGTTTAACATATTTTTTGCCTATTTGGGTGGATTTAAATATGTATTAGGGGCGGGCGAAGGAAATATTTAAATCAAACCCTTTATTCGTGGAGCTTTTAAAAAGCATGGGGCCAAACCATGGTAATGGGTAATTATATTATCCATCACCAAATTTATACGATTTTTCAAGGCTTACCCAGGCAAATTCCTCCCGATCACATATATCACCCATGGCCAATGGTCTAAAACTCAGAATTTTACATTGAAATTTCAAATTAATTTTCCAAACAAATTTCTGCGGATTTTGTGGACCTTTTTTCCGTTGCTGTCGATTATGGGACATGAGAGGGTATGAGATCTGCTGATTTTTTTTTGGACGGAAAATTAAGATCCTTTGGTCCCGAATTAATTGTAATTTTTTGTCTGGATTTTGTTTTTTATTTTTTTAAGGCAGAATTTCACTATACAAATTATATATATTTTGTTTTTTTTCGGCGGAACTTACTATTCAGACCTATAGTTCGGCGGAATTCAACATCATAAAATATGTAGTAGACTTCTGCTGATTCAATGGTTTTCCCTAAGATTTCTACTGTTTTTTTTTTTCAACGGAATTCAATATCATAAAATACGCGCCTAAGCTCTATTAACCTAATTTTTTTCGGTAAAAATTCATAAATTTAGTAATATATAATAATCCATAATTCCCTATTACATATTTAATTTAAATAATCGCAATAGCAAATAATTTAAAATCCTAATTTTAAGTATCTTAAAAATTTTTAAATCGGTTTACCTAACCGTACAAAGAAATTAATATTTCTTATTTACATAAATATTTAAAATATAATCAATATATATTAGATATATAAACATATTTATAAAAAAAATTATACATAATTATGTTCACGATAAATTACAAAAATATATATTTATATATGTAAAAAAAAACCAAATTACAATATGTTTATATTTGGGTTTATTCTAATAAATTATCTATATAATTATATAAAATTATAATTATATATCGATTTTATTTAAATCCTTTAATTAATACATATATTTTTTAATATTGGTTTTTCTTATTTTCGAATTTTTTCATTATATATTTCAAATTAAATTCTAGCTAATGTAATTATTAACCCCAGCTAATAATATAATAAAATAATAAAAAAAACCATATATTTAAAGCTTTAAATTAGGTTATTATAAAATAAATAAAAAATTATTTTTAAATAGGTATTTAAGTCCTAATTACGGAATTCCTTCGGTAATAAATTATAATTAATCTTAGTTAAATATAAACCAAAAATTTCTTCGCCAAACGCATTTTAATTAATGTCATATTTAGACAATTAATTTCTTAGTAAAGGAATTTGATTCTTGTTAATATTATTAAGAAGCTCTTCGGTAAGCATATGTTAATTTATGCTCATATATCGATATTATTAATTAATTTTACATGGTTTTGTTTGGTCCAAATATTGCTTTCAAATTCCAAGTCCGGGTATACGCAGATCTCTCCTATATAACAAATATCGCACTTATACTATCTTATGTTAATTAATAATATATAATTTTACTTCCCAGGGAGTTCTAACTATAGGGAGCACTAGGATATAAAGAAATACATAGTTCAATTCAAACCTAAAAATAATGTCCCCAAATCAAAATCAGCTGCCCCATAATCGATTACAAAAATTCTATAATATAATATAATATAATATAATAATATAATATAATATAATACAATATAATATAATATAATAAAAATTAAATAATGCATAATCATTATATATTATATATTTTTTCTTATATTATATATTTGTTATTATTTATTATATATAATGATTTATATTATCTAATTTTAATTTTAGACATTTCGTATTAAAATATATTTATATTAGATATATATATATATATCAATATATATATATATCCAAATCCATATTCATATATATTTATATATATCCGATATTATTATATATATCCGATATTATGAAATTTTATTATATATCATATTAATTCATATTATATTTTGATTATATTTTGATATATTTTCAGGGAAGATATTGTTTTAAATCTTGCTGCAGGTGCTCAAAGAGTTCGCATTTCCCTGATTCATTGGGCGCCAAACAGTCCATGTGGCCGGCATTGAGGCTTATATTTTGAAACTTCCCCAGGGTCAAGAGCTTCCAGCCTTCCATGTGTTCAGGTTGGCTGCTTTCATCCTGCAAAACTGCAAAAGCTGTGATGTTGGCTGGAACTGCCTTGAAATCGCGATCTGGGTCTGGATACATGGCATCTCGATATTGCCTTCGCATAAGAGATAACATCTCAGACAGGAATTTGCTGCTGTGCACTTGTTCTTCAAATTCATCATCTCCTTTTTCAACAGCACGCTTTAGGAACACATTGTCAGGCTGGAGACTGTAGAACCAGGTCAAGAGTTCTCTGTCACCACCTTTTTTGAAGTTCAAGCTTAAGGTCTCCCAAGCTGTTGGCTCACCCGCCTGCATTGCACCACATGCAGCGATGTAAACTTGTTTCACACGTGCGCCAAGACGACTAGCCACACAAATGGCAGGGGACGCACCCCGACTATGACCAAAGAGTATGAGCGGTTGCGACTCTGACTCAGCCACCTTATTGATTTCTTCCACTAACTTGTCGACATATTTGGACCAAGGTTCACGGCCTTCCCATCCATCACCAAACATGTCATAGGCATCTGGGAAATGAAGCACGGAACTTTTCTGAACACCAGCGATGTGGATGGCATCCATTAAAGGCTGTAGAAGCTTCTCGCCATCTGCTTTGGAGAAGCCTCCAGAGTACCATGCGCAAAAGAGTGGTGGCTTCGGGGGTGGCTTCACGATGCATTTCAAGAGGGTCTTATCTCCGATGTTGATACTCACCCAGCCAGTTTGTGGCCCAGAGCCAGCCATGAGCTTGTAGTGCAATCCTGGTTGGTGGTCGAGACGTGTTAAGACATCTGCCCACAATATGTGTTTGTTAATTGAGGCTACCTTCATCCCAATGAAATCAGGGTGGAAGCTCTGTTTAAAAATCTCGGAGCAGCAACCAGTCATTGGATACATTTCCATTGCAATGAGAATGCCCCTTGGAGTAATCATGTGATACCATTCATCGTAAAAAAGATTCAAAAAGTGCTCAGCCCTCAAGATACTCTACGAAACAATTCATAAACTGTCCCCAACTACCTTTCGGCCATGACAGTTGTGATCCCACAAATTGGGCAGCCAAGGTTGATCATCATTTTCCCCATCGAGATAGCCTTGGATTTGGGGTAAGCTCCAATGTTTTCATATTTTTTCAGGACAAAGACTGATCCAGATCAAACTCATTTCAACTCATTAAAATAGCCTTTGACTTGGGGTACATTCCTCACTTGTTTCAGGACAAAAACCAATCTCAACTCATTGAGATAGCCCTAGCTTGGGGAAAATCATGCCACATCATCCCAAAACCCCCATCTTAACATATTTATACATATTTTAACCAGGCCAAACATAACAAAAAAACGCATCATCAAAACACCAACTCAGAATCGTTCGCCCACCAGCTCGAGCTCCTCAACAAAGGAGGCAACGGCCAAGCGATCGGAGCACTCTTTACTCCGCAAGCCCCGTCCTTCGCGCACCATGATGCCACCCTTGTCCTTGCCACCGATCACCTCCCAAATGGCTGGGCTTTCCTCGCCCATGGCGGCTACAAATTCACCAATCTGCAGCTAGCCCCAACAAATGTCAAAAAAAAGGCTTAACAAATCCTAACCAACTTTGAAGAACACTTGAGCCGAACTACCCTGCGCAAACTGCGCAAATCTACCCTAGTAAATCAAATACAGCATGAAATGCAAACCCGCGGTTTCTACCTCGAATTGCAGGAAAAGGTTTCTGTGCTCCATAGTGGTTCAACTCTTGCGTGGCTCCAACACCTCGTTCCCATCTTTCCATCATCTTTTTCCGATCCAGCTCACCATGATAAGAGGAAGCAAAATCTTTGAGCTTCCGTTCGAATTGCTACCGGTTTTGCCAGAGTCATCAAGGGAGGTGCCCCTTCTTGTTGCAAGCCGCTGAACTTTGTACATTCATCTGCATCTCTTCACATTGCACAGCTTTGTTGCGGCACGGAAGGTTCGTTGATGAATGCGGGAAAGCCGCATCCCTCACCAGCTGTCCCTGCAAAAGGCTTCTCCTTGTGGACGTTCCGCAGCAAGTAAGTAGGGATGGCAATGCTCCATCGAAGCCCAAGAAAGGCATGGGCGGCATGGGCGGCATGGGCTGACGGCTTCCATCAGGTTCAAGGTGATGGCCATGAAAGATGGAGGTTTCATCAGGTTTCTCATTCATGTGAAGGTCCTCGCATCTTGGCAGAATGTGCTCACTTTGGTGAGATCAACAGAGCTTCACAACAACTGCACGGGCTTCTGCCACGCAAACGAGCAACCCACTTAGAAAACACTTTGTCCATGCCCTATTTGTCCTTATCCAAAGGCGACGTCGAAGAGTATCTAAAGGTCCAGGGGCTACCTCCTGGCACGGCAGGCCACTAATCGTGGCTAATCGTCATGTCAAGCATGAATCTAACTCTTCTACTGACCATCTTTCATTTCAAGATCTTTCAAGGCTCTCCCATATCTTTGGACATGTCCTGGGAGTCTTGGACTCGAAATGATTCGAAGGCTTCTCTGTTTGTGAAAGTTCTAAGTTCTAAGGGAGCTACACTGCCCTATGTTCTTGTTCTTTTTCATCCTTACTTGAAGCATCATTCCGCTCCTGGGAACTGTTGGTACACAGGCGTTGCACCCACTCAATCAACTTGAAAATGGGGTAAGTCAGATAAGCATGGGTTCGCGCACTTAGCGGGCTGCCTTGCGGTCTCAAACTATGCTCTCCCGGTTGGTGCTTGCCACCCATTCAGGGATCATCATCCCATTTCTAGAGAAGACAACCAAGAAAAATCTCGACGACCACCAGCCATGCAGTTGATGATGTGAGCCTTACTTGCATCACCGTGATTGGCCGGTGGCATACTTATAATATCTTATAATTGCCCCCAGTTGATGGATTACAACTTCATACAAATGCAGTATCTGTCCGGCCCATCAGTACCACTAATGAAAACTACCACCTCAACCATTCAACGATTGAAGTCCAACCATTCATTGATGATGGCCTCCCCTATGGGCATGGGCCATTTTTTGCCCCTAACATTGGACAGTCAACGCCTTAGCATACCAAAAAGTGATGAACATCTGCTTGTTATGGGCCTCAACTATTACGTTTTTGATTGCTTGTTTGAACCAGTCCAGTTGCATCACAATATAAGCATTTAACCAAACCTAACCCCTCCAATTCCCCGTATATAATCATTGATATCCACCCCATTCACTGACATCGCCAGGTTCAGAAACTCCCATGATTGATGGCTGGTCCTAAAATGATTTGTTTATCAACCATCAACCATGGGAGAATGATCAATTATGAATGATTATATATTGAATGTTGATTGATGGGTTATATACCCCATTGGTTGATTGATGGGTTATAATCAAATCAAGATTTATGGTTGAAATCTTACTGATTCTCTCTTTGGATTATCCATGATTATCCTATTGGTTGATGATTCCAATGGGATTTTCACCAAGCACCATCCCGAAAACTCATCGCTCCCATGCGGAGGACTGCCACGCGATTCCGTAGGACCAACCCTCGCGATCTCTGCCAGCACCTGAGTGCCATCAGTCCCAGGGTGCCGATTTCTATCGATTTCTGGTCAAGATATCATCCCCCAAAACAAAGAACACAACATAGATACATAGGGAATGCATCATGCTAACTGCTAACCCCAAAAAACATGGAAATGGTATGAAATGGTGGCTTTTCCACTTGCTATTTTTGATCATTTAGACTGTCATCTGTAGCCAGCCAAAATGGGGCCACCCAAACGGGCCATCATTCATCACCAATCCCGTGCTGGTTGGGTAAAGAAACAAACGCAATACACAGAAAAGGGCAATACCAATTGGCATGCAGTGGGGACCCTTCACTGGCAAGATCAGGCAAGCCCTTCTCAATGCAAGGAGCTGTGATGCACTTCCCAATCTGAAGCTGCGTGGAACAAAGTGCCAAGCCTCTGGTACTTCACGCTGCGGAGAGGCTCCAGCCACATAGGCCAGCAATGTCATGTGGAAATTCGTGATCTATACAACACGCTTGCTGAACACAGCTTCCAACAACCGCAAAGGGGCCTGCATGGGGGCAGCTGGCTTGCAGCAGCTTGTGATCCTCAGCATATTGGACAGTCAGTGAGACCTGAGACCACACTACTCCAACCAACAGGGTTGAACCAGGGTTGCATCCCATCCCTGCTGAAAAGATATGCTGCTACTGGGCAGCCCGACGAGTCATGCCTCGGCACAAACATGGGAGATAACCCAGCAGCTGGCCAGCGTGTCGTCGACATACTCAATGGTTATTTCTGGGACCTAAATGGGAGGATATTGGAGGTACCTACCACATATAGGGCCTGTGTAAGGGCCATGCAAGGGAATATCCACACAAAATATTGCCTTATGTGATACAGTTGACAATGCCTCCATTTTTGGGTGGTATGGGTTCAAATGTCAATAGCTACTGTATATAGTAGACGTGGACGCTCATGGCCTATGCAGCATAGGACAATACAATCTTGGAACCCCAAGTGACAGTGTTGAATGAATGCTGGTTCTGTCACTGGACCGGCACAACAAATTCGGGAAGGGCAACAGTTTGCTGCTATTTTTTCTGAACAACATTGCGCCCGATTCAGATTACATAGTCCTAGTGTTTTCAAACGTGCCCATGCCAAAAAAAACAAAAACTTGCGAGTTGATACATGCGGATGTCATCCCATGTCTATGAAGCACTGAAGAAATCTGTTGCTACCTTTCGTAACCATCCAGTCGGTTCACCCAAGCCACTGTAGATCCAGTACCTTGCCCGGCCTTGCCCCTTGGGTTCCCCAGACCCAAGGGCAAATAGGGATGCCGCCGCCTGGGTCGGCGAGAACATATAAGGACCAGCAGGAAATTTGCGGTTTGATGCTGATAGCCACCTATAGCAGATAATTTCAGTTTCTTTTCCTGGAAAGTTATCTTTTCTTAAAAGGCCCAGGATTTTTCAGACAGATGTTTTATTCTCTTACCAGTGGTGCTGCACAAGGCGGTGGGGAAGTTTCAAAAATAGGAAGCCTATAGGAGAGGTTGTTGTGAATCACGGATAGCAGAACGAATCCACTGATGGACCGAAAAGTGGTTGGTTGGAGTTGTGTTTTTTGGAGCGGTTGCAATGTTTGCAGTGGTCACCTCACCGCAACTGCTGGATGTAGTGTGGTGTAGTGCAGTTGTAGTAGTGTAGTAGTGTAGTAGTGTAATGTAGTGTAGTAGTGTAGTAGTGTAGTAGTGTAGTAGTGTAGTAGTGTAGTAGTGTAGTACTGTGTAGTACTGTGTAGTAGTGTAGTAGTGTAGTAGTGTAGTAGTGTAGTAGTGTAGTAGTGTAGTAGTGTAGTAGTGTAGTAGCGTAGTAGCGTAGTAGCGTAGTAGTGTAGTAGCGTAGTAGTGTAGTAGTGTAGGAGTGTAGTAGTGTAGGAGTGTAGTGGGGATGTAAAGTAAGTTGGAAGTCGTAGTTGTAATGTTGTGTAATTAGTGTCCTGCAGTTGCAGTTGCAGTTGTGGGTGTAGTTGTCGTTGTAGTGTAATGTAGTTGTACTTGTAGTTGTAGGTGGTAGTAATTGTTGTAGTTGTAGTGTAATTAGTGTAGTGTAGTCTAGTGTCGTGTACTTAGATGTACTTAGTGTAGTGTAGTGTAATTAGTGTAGTGTAATGTAGTGTCGTTTATTTGTATTCATAGTTGTAATTGTAGTGTAGTGTAGTGGCAGTTGTAATTGTAGTTGTAGTTGTACTTGTAGCTGTCTATCTATCTATTTATCTATCTATCTATCTATCTATCTGTCTATCTGCAATTTGCAAGCTTGAAAACGAAGCAATTCTGCGAGACCCCCTCAATGTTCGAAGTTGGCAGCGTCAAAAACGAAGAAATTCTGCTAGACTTCCACAATTTTCCAACTTGACAACGTCAAAAACGAAGCAATTCTACGAGACCCCCGCAATGTTCGAAGTTGGCAGCGTCAAAAACGAAGAAATTCTGCTAGACTTCCACAATTTTCCAACTTGACAACGTCAAAAACGATGCAATTCTGCGAGGCTTCCTCAATTATCGAAGTTGACAGCATCAAAAATGAAGCAATTCTCGCAGACTTCCTTCAAAAATGGAAAGTTGAGTGCAGAGCTGACGGCCTCGTACCAATGCGTTTTGCGATTTGTCCACTCCATCTGTCTAAAGTACTGCGCCTGCCACGACAAGCCAGGTCATACGAAATGCTGCGCCTGTCACGCAAAATCATCTTAGCAAACCTGACGATCTGATGCTCCAAAATGCAACCCCTCTCAGGAAATCAGCGCCCTGACCTCCTAACATCTCTGATGAACATGTCTCTTGTACTGAGACTGCCACGCGACATGCATCTTTCGAGGTCCTCTTCAAGTCTGTGTTTTGCACATTTTGACTTCGAAATGTGCTTCGCGGCGTGCATTTTTCATCTCTCATGCCCCCAGACGGCTCCGCACCTGCCGCTTTAGCGAGCCTACTCTTCGGCCCTCCGGAGCCACAAATCATTGGAAAACACAGTGTTTCGCGACTTTGCTACCTTTTCGCGCACCTGCATCTTCTGTCTTCTGACTCTTTCTCTTCTCTGATCTTCTTTCTTCTTCTCTTCTCTCCTCCGGCTCTTCGATATTGTCGGAAGTTTGACTTCTAAACCTCCTTGGATTATCTTCAAGACGTTTCATCTTATTGTCACAGTAGACCTTATCTGGTTGGTGGTTTCAACTCACCTGCAACTTGAGGCCGGGGGTGGATGACGAAAGCTAGCGGGGTAGGAGAAAGAAGGAAGGGAAGACGTATCTTCAGTGTCAGCAGGGAAATGTCGGTGACAATGACGATGATGATGATGATGACGATGATGATGGTGATGGTGATGATGATGGTGATGATGGTGCTCATGATGATGATGATGATGATGATGATGATGATGGTGATGGTCATGATGATGTTGATGATGATGGTGATGATGATGATGTTGATGATGATGAATGATGAATGATGAATGATGATGATGATGATAATGATGATGATGATGATGACGATGACGATGACGATGACGATGACGAGGACGAGGACGATGATGATGATGATGATGATGATGACGATGACGAGGGCGATGGCGAGGACGGTGACGATGATGATGACGATGATGATGACGATGATGACGACGATGATGATGGTGGTGATGATGATGATGACGAGGACGATGACGATGGCGAGGACGATGATGATGATGATGATGATGATGACGATGACGAGGACGATGGCGAGGACGGTGGCGAGGACGGTGACGATGATGATGACGATGATGATGACGATGATGATGACGATGATGATGATGATGGATGATGATGATGATGATGATGATGATGGTGGTGGTGATGGTGGTGGTGGGGGGGAGGGGGGGGTCCCCCCCTTTCGCGTGAAAAATCACGTGATGTCCTTGAGCAGCCCCTGGAATACTTGCTAAAGCAAGAAGACTCCAGCTAGCTGACGCTAGCTTTCGTGACAATATTGGTCAGTGGGGATCATCATCCCAACGTTGAAACTAGCAAATATTTGAAACCACCAACTTTCTGCGTTCCAACGGGGTACCATTATCACAAATATATATATATATATTATATAATATGTATATTAGATTATATTAATATATCATTACCCCAATTATCAAAACAAGTTGGTATATATACCTGTTTTCAGACACACCAAGTCCTCGCCGTCCCAGGGCACCGACCCTTGGAGCTCCACCCATCGCCACGACAAATCATCGTCCTGGGCACCCAAGGGACACAAAGACTTGACCATGTCGATATACATTAACTCATTTGGTGGTTACCATACATGGGGATACCCCAAAATGGTTGGTTTATAATGATGATTGGTTGGTGTACCACCATTTTAGGAAATCATCATTTGGCAAGAATGACTCAACAATCCACGGGAAGACTTGGCAATGGCATCATCCGCAAATTTTCGCAAGCTATTTTGTGCCTACATGGGGGAAGCACTTGGGAGCTCAAACTGCAAAAGCACAGGCCACTCCCACACCAGGATCCCTGACTGTAGGTAGGAAGGGCGTCTTCCACTCAGACGTTCCAGGCATGCGACCTCGAAAGTAGGCGTTGAACCCAAATCATGGTATCTTAGATGGCTAGTCCATCATGATTTGGACCCCAAACTCCCATGGTCACCCGGGGAAACCACCAACTCTTGCCGGTTCCTCTTTGATATATATGTATTTTTCCACAGCCTCAAAAAGATATCGAACACCTACTTTTCCACTAAATTTTCTCTTTGGCAGTTGCTATGCAGGTGCTATAAGCCATCCCCCCTTTTTTCCCGGCCGAGATCCCCATCGGCAAACCGGGCTGCCAAGCGTTCCACCTCAAAGACGCTGAGCCGTCGATGGCCGCACCCTTCATCCGCCTGCGGGGGTAACATCATTGTTTACGGGTCACCATCTGGTTATATGGAAAATGGATGAAAATGGATGATAATGGATGAACATGGCCCATATATGGACTTTTAGGGATGATCTAGCTGTTAACATTTGCTAAACGGGGTGATTTTCCAGGGCTATGTTGGCTTACTGGAAGGGAAGCAGTGCTAAAACGTTCAGGTAACATGCAGCAACTTCGAAGTTGTTCGTCATGATTTTAATACTTGATCATATTTGATCATCATCCCACGTGGACGGACATTAAACAAGCATGTTTGAATCATGTCTCCATCATTCAGCAACCTTGGGCCCTAAACAATTGTATCTCCAAAGATTATGTCAAAAATTGAAAGACCGAAACGCCTTTTGTTTTCAGCATGCAACCTTTGCACGCCGCGTCAGTCATTAGACGATCAGCAGCGCTATGAATTCAATGCTACTGCTGATGGAGAAGTGCACGAAATGTTTTGCATGACCAATTCCATTGCGTGCAGATGCAATCTGCTGGACAGATTCCGGCACCAAGTGATATGCCGCATATATGATAAATGATAAAAGAATGGTTGGGGGATCGCTTAGAACCAAAGGATTGGGATCACTCAGAACCACAGGATCACTTAGAACCAAAAAGCGTCACTTAGAACCACACAAATAGGATCAGCAGAACCACCAGTCCGAATGTTGATGGTTGAGGCTGCTATAACCAGCATGGTGGAAAGAGACCTTTAGGGCAACACTTGGGGACACGGGGCTGGGATATGGGGGGGCTGGGACATGGGGTGGGTTTAGGAGACCAGCATGGTGGAATGAGACCTTTAGGGTAACACTGGGACAAGTGGGGACATGGGGCTGGGACATGGGGTGGGTTTAGGGGACCAGCATGGTGGAATAAGACCTTTGGGGTAGCACTTGGGGACACGGGGCTGGGACATGGGGTGGGTTTAGGGGACAAATGGGGACACGAGGCTGGGACATGGGGTGGGTTTAGGGGACCAGCATGGTGGAATGAGACCTTTAGGGTAACACTTGGGGACACGGGGCTGGGACATGGGGTGGGTTTAGGGGACAAATGGGGACACGGGGCTGGGACATGGGGTGGGTTTAGGGGACCAGCAGGTGGAATGAGACCTTTAGGGTAACACTTGGGGACACGGGGCTGGGACATGGGGTGGGTTTAGGGGACAAGTGGGGACATGGGGCTGGGACATGGGGTTGGTTTAGGGGACCACCAGGTGGAATGAGACCTTTAGGGTAACACTTGGGGACACGGGGCTGGGACATGGGGTGGGTTTAGGGGACCAGCAGGGTGGAATGAGACCTTTAGGGTAACACTTGGGGACACGGGGCTGGGACATGGGGTGGGTTTAGGGGACAAGTGGGGACATGGGGCTGGGACATGGGGTGGGTTTAGGGGACAAGTGGGGACAACTCATTCTGGACCTTTTTATTCTGAGGCAACTCATCTTCATTAGACATATTCATGCTATTTCTTGGAGAATACCTGCTGATCTAAATTATTCAAACTGCTAACACGCGCCGAAAATAGTGCGACTGCGTTGTCCACGTTGATGTTCCAAAGTAGGAGGGTGAGATCTCAGAGGTCCAAGGTAGCCATTTCCCTGGAATTTCCATCAGGCTGTGTCTAGTTGGATGCCGTGAAAACCTCGGCAGAAACTAGATTTACATAGATTTACTGTGTTTTTCTTGAAAAGTTCAAAAATCCGGGAAAACAAAACATGTATTCTCAAGTGCATCCTTGTTTTTATATGTATGTACGTATATATATATATATATGTATACATATATATACATATGTATATATATATATAAACATATTTCAGGTGAGGTAGGTGCCTCGGTTGTACACGCGAAAACCCGACTCGGCTGTACACGCGAGAAAGCAACTCATTTGTTCACGCGGATACTGATGCTTATGATGGTGCTGACGGTGATGATGATGATAATGATGATGGTGATGATGATGATGATGCTGATGATTCCAGGACGGTTCTGAGCGATCCAAATTTCGCAGTTCTAAGCGATCCAAATCCCGTGGTTCCAAGCGACCCCGCGACCATAAAGAAGCATCCAACACCGTCTGTCAAATTGGATAGCTGGGCCTCGCTGCATCCGAATTTGTGCAAACTGCTTCTCAACATCCATGCTCTCTCCTCGAAAAATTAATCATGTTTCAAACCCAGCGATAAACCATCCCTAAAATCATCATGTGGTATAAACCATTCCTAAATGGTACATAGTTTTTTTCTCCTTGGGTTGCCTACTACATTACCCTAGAAACCCTTGTTTAATATGGTTTCGCATTCATTTTGGGCAGCTGATATCTATCATTAATCGTGCACCTCCATGAGCCTAGCTCCGAGGGTGCCCTCCCTGGGGCCAGCTTCCCCGAGCTTCCCGAGCTTTACAGCTTCGGAAGTTAGTGCAATCTGCCAAGCTGAGGTGGGAGTCACTCCAAAAGTCATCAAAAATACCAAGGAAAAACGATGGAAAAACGGCAGTCCCGTTTAGGCTATGGCGGCTATGAGTTTTTGCTCCTGGGGTGTCTAGTAGATGTTGCACCAGGTTCCAACTGATTGTTCTTGGATGGTCTCAGCCGAGGTTGCCTTGGAAGGCACTCGCCGAGGTTCCTAGGAAGTATTTAGGACAAAGCTGAGTGCACTTCACAAGATGTATGACAAAACTTGTAGGCTCAAGCCTGTACAAAAGCGGGACAAAGGTGGAAACTCTGTACAGAAATTGCACGTCCCTGCGATCCTTCGCAAGACAAGCCTGGGTATTTCCAAGCAAAAAACAAGTAGCCAGGCCAGCTAAGGGACGGAGGTCAGAATCAGGCCTTTGCTAGCCATTGCCCTAAGCTGCAGGGGACAGGCCAAGTTTCACGCACGCCATCATGATGAGCTGCGCAATATAGACCTTGCAATCATCATGGGATCAACAGGAAACACAAGGGGAAAAAACCGGGATTCCTGTAATTTTCCCTAGATCCAGTCCATTGAAGCGAGCCAATGCCAAACCAATACTTGCTCATATTTAGCTGTATCTTTATATATTTTTTGGGGCCGTCAACGAGAAATCCAACAAAAAGGAAGAGGTGCAAACGAGAATAGCAAATATCTTTCACGCCTTTCTTCCTTGAACTCTGCCGCAACATAACAAGAGGGGCTTAACAACAGACAACCTTGAAGTAGAATGTAAAAGACCAACACAAACTTAAGACTGCAACTTAGGTCGCGACAATGAAATGCGACACAGTGCTCAACACCAACTTTGAGAAAAATATCTCAAGAGCCGTGGCCACGCTTTTTCCCCTGCTAGCAGACGAGTTTTGCAAATATCTTTTTGCGTTTTGAGTTTTGCAAGATTGGGGCAATTAGATTAAAAACTGAAACAGACCTATTGATGGCCGAACCAGCCACCATCCAACAAATCCGGCACAAACCTTGGCTGAAACAGCCACAGTTGAAATACCAAGCCGGCTTCAGCTTTGGCAAAGTCATCTTTGGCCCCTCTTTCTTAATATGCAACATGGGCGGCCCACGGGATCCCCACTTGCTGCATTTCAACTTGCGGTGCTTCTGAAACAGCTTTTCGAGCCCCAAAGTTCCAACTATCCGTATTTGGACTAAGCGCTGATCTCTTTCAGCTTGCTTGATTTAAAGGGCCCTTAGCACTACAGAGTGCACAGCTGGCTGATTCTGAGCCAGCATTCTTGAGCTGAAACAGCTGCAGAAGGAAACACATTGAAATTGAAATGCGTGAGCTTTTTTAAATCTTCGTTGCACCTGTTATAAATCAATTGCTGTTTGCTGAACTGAGTCCACAGGGTGTCTGCAGCTGCTGCAACGCATGTTTATCCACTTTTCCACGTGTCATTTTTCGCATCTCACATCCGGCTTTGAAGACAGCACCCCGCCGCAGTCTATGTGGCTAAGATCCGGCCCTTTCCAGCTGATCTGACTTTGGTCGATGCCGCGGTGGCATACTTGTGGCCAAGGCAGCCACCGGCAGCCACCAAAAGCCGAAGCAGCTAAGTGGCCGAAGCAGCTCAGTAGCCGAGAGAGCTGCCGCCTCTTTGGCATAGAGATGGCGTGGCCAGTTTTCAGCCACAAACTTCCGTGAAGTGCTTGAGCCGAGGCTCCTGAAGCGAAGCGGATCTCAGACATGTTCCTAAGGAGAGGGCAATTCGTCCTGTCCTTAGGAGGTTCAAGGACGACCCTGAGGCTCCTAAGGAGAGGACAACAATGGGACAAAGGCTTTGAAAAACTCATATTTAAGAGTATTTCAGTTTCGCACCCCTTGTCGTCCTCTGCTTAGGAGGTTGAAGGACAACCCCGAACCTCCTAAGGAGAGGACGTTCCCACCCATTAATTCGAGCTCCGTTGATTTTTTTTTGATGCTCCTAAGGAGAGGACAAAAAACACATATTAAGTAGCCAAGCCTGTCTCCAAATCAAAGCTTTCGTTGAATCTCCCAATATTTGTGGGTAGTCATCTCTTAGATTCAACCCATTGGTAGATTCCATGTAGCGACCAGAAATCCAAAGTCTTTACCCTGACGCTTCAACCCACCCCAGCCAATTCCTATTTTTGCGAAAAGTCCATCACGACCTGCTATGTACAAAAACTGACTAAGTAAGTAATGCAGCTTCAAAGTGAGAAGTCGGAACAGCGTCAAAACAAGCCAAAGCAGCTTTGACAGCCGGAAGCAGCTTGCCTGATGCTGCAAGGGCTTGGCTGAAACAGCTACCGCTAAGGCCGAAGCAGCCTTACTTGAGGTCAAAATTTGAAAATACTTCGCAAGCAGGAGCCGAGTCTGACCCAGGGCCGAAACAGCCCTCCATGCTGCGTGGACATGCTGAGCCGAAGCAGCCGAACAGCCACCGCCTTGACTGCTCCAGAGCCCGCCTTTGTCCTTTGATGCTTTTGGAAGCGTTTTTTTTTAAAGTGAACGGACTTTGTGATTTCATTGTTTGCTCAGTCGCTTGTCAATCCGCTGTGGCCAGAACCGTGCAGTCAACACCCCATGGCGTGCGCAACCAAGTTCCCAGCTCTGGGTGATGACATGACATGCGGTACTGTGAGCCCCATGTCAATCCCAAGACAAGCCACTTGGATCGAAGCCATCTGCCATTGCAAAAGCAGCAATGCTGCTGTCGTGTTTGACAGCTACTGGCCCAAATTGCAAACGAGAAATAAAAATGAACCAGCAATAATTTCAAATACCTCTTCAGCTGCCTCGACAAGAAAAATTGAAAGAGCCAATGGAAAGTGAAAAAATGTACGAGTATGTAGAATTTTGAGAAGGAAAGGACAAGGGAAACAAACAACATGTTCCGTACATGTCTTAGATGTCACAAGTTAGGGTTTGCAAAGGGTATTCCAAATCAGTCATTGTTGAAGCAAACAAAATTCTCAAATAGCTTAGCCTCAAAAAAAATACAAAAAATATCTCAGGCCACCCCTCCAAAAAAAATATGAAAATACAGCTAAATATGAGCAAGAATATGAACCCAAGAAATTAATCTTGAGATATCTTGAGGCTTGAGGCTAGGCTAGTTCTTGATTTCCAAGTGCTGCCAGGTGGCTACTCCAAATGCTCCAGCCACATCTTGAACCGCTGTCTCCATCCTCCGTGGATCTGGGATGGATTTTCTAGACAAGCTGTAACCATCATCAACCCTCATTCAAGCACTTAAAAACGACAACTAGCCTAGTGATCACCACAAAACACAAAAAGTCGAGCTTCGGTCCGGCCCATTTGCCGGCGTCACCATGGAAAATGAAGGAGAAAATCACTGGCGCCTTGGATTTTTTTATGTTTGGCGGATGGAAGTGGAATGGCTGGATGCTCCAACATAGTAATGTCACCATGTCAGCACTTCAATGTCAATCCCAACAACTGAAAAAATGGGGAAGTTAGATTTTCTGGGATTTTGTTGTGAAAAGCGACAGATCCTGATTCAAACCTCTTTCTCCCATCCGTACCACCTATCAGCCAATAATCTTCAGAACGCGGGCTCATCATGGCAGTGATATCCTTTTCAGGACGAAAAAAACGGGTCGGCCAACTGGGGGGAAGTGGCCTCGATCTATGGGCAAATACCTGCAGATGCTAACGCCATCCTAATCCTAGACTCACCCATGCCGACCATCCCTCTCGGAATGGGCCCAAGCAAGCATTTGCAGTAAACCCTCATAAAACAAACCCGTCCACATTTCCGGTGATTTGTATGTGGTATGTAAAATATATATATATATATATATTATTATGTGTATATATATATATCTCTATTATGTATAATATATATATATATATATGTATGTATGTATGTATGTATGTATGTAAATGTGTAATTATACATAATATATATATGTATGTATGCCTGTATGTGTGTATGTGAATATTTGTACATACAGCACATACCTTTGCAGATGAAGTATATAAAATATCTATGAGATGATGAGATCATATGTTCTGAGATATGTGTATCATATGAATATGCGCTGTATATTCAGATATCAATCCATTGATCCCCGCGCAACGGCCATGGCTCAATGGACCCAGTGATGCCTGCCACTATGATGCTGAAGGCCTGTGAGACGCCCACGGTAAGAGCGAAGCCAATGTCAGGCCCTGCGCGCAGATGAGTTCTCGGGATCTCCATAATGGCTCGGCATAATCCCAAAAAAAGGAGGTTTCCTAAAATGGTGGCACCCTAAATCATTCAAGTAATAGATGATTTCAGTATTGAAACCCATGGTTTTAGGGATCCCCCCATTTCAAGAAAACGCAGCATATTTTTTAACTGTTGGGTTTTTGGGGGATAGAGCGAACCAGTGATTGTTTTCTTTAATACAACACACCTTGTAGGAATATATCTGTGTGTCACTGTGTATAAATATATGACTAGGTGACTAGGTGGTATTAGCTATATCTTATAATCATTTATAATCTAGCCACATTTGGGAATGTGATGTGGATATTTCATGAGGACATATTGGCCAAAATTTTCTCTGGATTGGTCGGCCCGGGACATATCACAGGAATTGCCAATCATATTCTGTGGAAAGATAGTAGGCTTATTGTCATCAGAAACCATTGCTATTATAGGTACATACAAAAACACTATATATCAGATATTATATATATCATAGAATCGTGCACCTACTGTGGGCTTGCTGCGTTTTTTCCCTTCCACCAAGCCATTCGAACCGCTATTGGGTACTACATCAGGCTAATAAAGGAATGTTCCGTAGCAGTACCTTCCACGAGTGGCCTCCAAGAATGATATGGACATACTGTATAGGGAATGGATGGACCCAACACATGCTGCCCCAATTGACATTGAAGATCTGGAAGGTCAGTCTTGCTTGATCAATCCTTGGTTTAAGGCTCGGATGAAATATTTTGCTGGTCCCTAATTACAGCACCTCGAAAAGCAATGGCCAATTGCCCTCAGGTAACCAAACATGGCAATGGAGAATTCCCCCAAAGAGGATTCTCCCATTTAGTCATTTAGGTCCATTTATATATAGTCTATAGTTAATTATATATAGGGGATTTGCAATTTGCCATGTTTGACCACTGCAGGGTATTCATATGCCAACAAAACTCCGAGAAACATGGCAAAAAGGCCGCGGAGCTCCTGGAAATTGGACCCAAGTCCAGACCAAGGCCAATAGCGCTACGGCAAAGCCAGTAGCGATCGACAACAAACCAGCTGTGGCAACTTCCAAACCTCGCAGTCATCCCCAAAATCCCAAACGCAGCATCATAGCTGAAAACAGGGAGGACACATTGGACACATACTATGTTTTTTGCACATTTCCCGTTACATTCCCATTAAAGAATCACCAAACTGTGCTGACATGGCACGCATCCAACTGCAATAGGTGGTTTTGTCGCAGCTCCTCAGTGCCAGAGCGGACATGTTTTGACAAAGGCTTGAGTTTGATTCTATCATATTTATTCTATTCATGTGTGTAGTTGACATATGTAAATAATTGTAAATCTTTAAATAATTAAATAGATAGAGGATGATAGAGGCGTGTATGTATCATTTATCTCTATATTTATCTTGATTTCATCCAACTTCATCCATGCTAGCATGGTTCTGTGGAGCAACCTGCGTTCTCCCGGCCCCAATGACTTGGAGGCGACGCCAAGGCGCCCATGGGAAATGGCGCGGGTGGTCAGGGAGGAGCATTGCAGCCCGACGTTGCCCGAAATGGCGGAGGTCAACGGCAGAAAGGCCATCAGCAGCGTGTAACGATCCGGGCCCACCAGCTGCTTCAAGCCCTTCCAGGGCAGGGGATATGGAACTGATATGGATATATAATGATATGATTATCTATATATATATATACACATTATAATATATATATAGTGATATATATGAATGTATATATATATATGTATGTATACTAATATATATATAATTATATATATATAGAGGATGTGGATATTCCATGGTAGCATATGGCAATGCATTCCATGATGTTCCATGGTTTAGGTTCACTTGGTGGAGCATCAAAACAAGTCCGCCATCCTGCACTACCCGCAATGGATGCACGAGATACCCTTCGAACCGCTTGCCTTTGCTGCATCCAAACTGGGATCATTCAACCATTCATTCCATTGGAGATTTAAACACCTCAGAATCATTCACATTTACTTTGCGTATTTATTGGTTGGCACATACTGCAGCTTCACATGAAAAAACAACTTGGTAACTTGGCATTATAAAACATGGGGGTCAAACATGAGAGGAAACACAACGTGCTTCTTCTATGTGTTTCAAGGCGTTCACTTCCCCTTGTTGAACATCACACATCAGCCAACAATAAGATACAATGAGAGTATAGTAGTACAACCACCTCAAAGTGATGCAAAAATAGATCGCCCATTTTGATACTCCACACTGGTTGTACTTCAAGCCCCCGGAAACATGTCAAAATCATAGGCTTTGGACCCAAGATCCATCCCCATTTGGATTGGACAAGCCATCTTGTGGGATAAATTTCGATAAGGTCACCGCATCTTTTTGGCTACTTGACCCCCCCAGCATATGACATTCTCACTTTGGCCCCCTAAGCAAAAACTAACTTTTTTGGCATTGCATATTTTGTTGCCTACATGGCGCATGCAATAATGCTAATATTCAAAAGTATAGCAATGGCCCAATGGCCAAATCTGTGTTTCCCCAAGTTTCTCTGTTGACCCCACCTCATCTAATGTCCCAACCCCGAAACCATCCCTAATCTCACAATGGCTGGTATAAACCATCCCATTGAATCGTACTGTAGGTCTATTCACTGGGTGAATCCCGCAGACAAAAATCCTCATCCCACGAATATTCCAATATCCATCATTGTTGTAAACCCACATAGTATCATTATAGCATATCATAGTAGCCCCCCAAAATCGAACATATTGCCAGGCAGGTAGTTCGATGACGTTTCCCCAAATAATTTCCAGGTGTCCAGCTTTTCTGTTTTGGGATTGCTGTACAACTGGTTGGTGCTCGCAACCCTGTACAAAAAACAGTTTGCCAATTGGAATTCTAAGTGGACTACTGTCAGTGTTTCTATCTTTCTGGGGGTTGCTATAGAAGTAAACTTGAGGCCGGGGGTGGATGACGAAAGCTAGCGGGGTAGGAGAAAGAAGGAAGGGAAGAGGTGAGTTGCGGAGGGACTGTCATCATCGTGTCGCGGCAGTGTTCGTCCCAACGAGGATGCAACAATGATATATGACATATGATATATAACAATGATATATATGGGGGGGGGCAGGGGGGGGCCCTTTCGCGTGAAAAATCACGTGATGTCCTTGGGGAGCCCCGGAATACTTGCTAAAGCAAGAAGACTCTAGCGAGCTGACGCTAGCTTTCGTGATAATGCCAATAATTGCCAATAATGATAAAATGTAATTGAATAATTAACGATGATGATGATGATGACGATGATGATGAAGAAGACGATGACGATGACGATGACGATGACGACGATGATGACGATGATGATGATGATGATGATGATGATGATGATGAATGATGAATGATGATGAATGATGATGAATGATGATGAATGATGATGAATGATGATGAATGATGATGAATGATGATGAATGATGATGAATGATGAATGATGAATGATGAATGATGATGATGATGATGAGGAGGATGACAATGACGATGACGATGACGAGGACAATGATGATGATGATGATGATGATGATGATGATGATGATGATGATGATGATGATGATGATGACAAGGACGATGGCGAGGACGATGACGATGATGACGATGACGATGACGATGACGATGATGATGGCGAGGACGGTGACGATGATGTTGATGATGATGATGATGATGATGATGATGACGATGATGATGACGAGGACGATGACGATGAGGAGGACGATGACGATGATGACGATGACGATGACGATGATGACGATGACGATGACGATGATGATGATGATGATGACGATGACGAGGACGATGGCGAGGACGATGGCGAGGACGATGACGATGATGATGACGATGATGATGACGATGATGATGATGATGACGATGATGGGGGGGTCCCCCCCTTTCGCGTGAAAAATCACGTGATGTCCTTGAGCAGCCCCCGGAATACTTGCTAAAGCAAGAAGACTCCAGCTAGCTGACGCTAGCTTTCGTGAAAATAAAAATGCTGTATAGATACTCTCTGGTAATCAAACGTGGCACTGGACAATGCCCCATTCACAAATGAATAAACACATCATTTATCGTGGCCTTTTCAATTGCCACGTTTGATAAGATAAGATGAGATAAGATGATTACCAGAAAATAGAATATACATAATGTGCGGGCGGTGACCATACTAACTATCCTATTAAATCAGATTGACATCCCACTAAAATCCCATGATAAAATCTCATTCACCATAAATTTAAGTGGGATTCAAATTATCCTCAGCTGGTTGGTGGTATACCTACCCCCCTGAAAAATGATGGAGTTCGTCAGATTGGATCATCATCCCAACCAGTCAGATCAGTCAGGGGTGTTTATTTTCCAAGCCATGGCTCCAAACCACCAACCAGATTTAATCCAGATTTATAGATGGATTTTCCATGATTTTCCCGAATTAAAACCATCCAGCTATGGGGGTACCCCCCATTCCAGGAAACCCCCATTCCGGTGATGGTAGGTCGGCGGTTGAAACCGGCCTGGGATCCACCCGTGATGATAAACGCCACTGGGATCTCCAGCGCCAGGGTCACCAACAAAGCCAGGCTTCGCTCCGGAAAGGCGCGACGCACACAGCCGGCCTTTCCGGAAAAACGGTTCGATGAATTTTTGGTGCTGGATCTTGATGATTTTTGATGCTGTTTTTAGTAGATACTTTATATATGTTTATATGGAGTTTTAAACAAAAAAACTATGATATTCTATGGATGTCTGGAGTTTTCTACGGATTCTTGAAGATTTTTATAGATGTTTGTGGGTTTGGAGATTTTGGGCAGGAAAATGGTGAACATTCAAAACCCAAAGGTGGACAAACGAAGTTCAGGCCAAAATCAGGGTTAAGCAAGAATCTTGCTCAAGAATATGAAGAGTTTCTCAACCCCAAATTTGGATTAAGTAACAATGAACATTTTGAACGGCTATGGAAAGTTCGAGCAGCCAAAAGCTCGACTGTAAACTATATGGGAAATCTCGGTGTCGTAAAGGGCTGGCTTGGCCAGAAAAGTGTAGGGCAGGGTGGCAGCAAACAAACGACTAAGAATAAAACACGAATAAGTGTAGTAGGTTCTGCACCCGATGATCAACTATGAGGGGTTGAGCAGCCAAAGTGCGGACTCGCTACAAAAAGTTGGTGTGATTTATGCAATTGGGTAGCTAAGGATGGGATGCTTTGCAGCAGACAATCATAGGAATCATAGGAAGCCACGCCAAGTTGCAGGTGCAAAAATCACCTACAATCACCTCCGATACGAATCCGGATAAAATGGTTGGTTACCCATTTCAACCATCTGGCATTCACTCCAGCACCTGTTGGACAACCCCAAAGACAGTATCTCAAAGTCAATATCATGATGTCGCATGATGTCGTTTATATATGGCGTTGCGCCAAGATTTGGGTATGGATCGGCCCGCGGTGATCAAAGGCGTATGGATTGGTCTGGATCACCTGTGTTTCGGTATGGATCGGGGGATCGGCCTGTGGGTTCAGGGTATGGATCGGGCTGTACGTTTTGACTCGCAGCCATATATGCTTATGATCTTCTATGAACGCAAATCTCCCATTATATCTCCATTCCATTGTGGTTGGTCCATGGTCCTATGTCCTACACCACACCATAGTCCCGTTGAACCCAAAATCCCCCATCTAAAAGGAGAACTGTCAGGGGATTCCGTTCAGAAGCCTTGGCATATCTGTGCTCCTTGGCCAGTTCCTCTTCGATTGTTTCAGCGCTTTGGGAGCGAAGGTCGCCTCAGTGGGGAACGGATACTGTATCAACTTACGGGAGAGTTAAGGGGTTGAACGGTTAGTAACTTGAGCATACCTGAGTGGACTCTTGGAGAAGAAACCACACTGAAAAAACCTTTCATCGCATGCTTGGTACTCCAAACTGGAAAATAGAACCTGTCGATGTTCCAACAGCAGGTGTCCTATGAGTATTTGGCAAACAACCATGTTCCAACACATTTGATGGGACCAATAACCAAAATCACACGAGAGATCTTTAGTAAGTTCACCCAGAAAATTCCCATGTTCCGAGGGTGCAGCCTCAGCATGATCAAACCCATAGCTGCCGATATTCTGCCCAGAAGCTGAAGATGCTGGAAATTTCATCGTCCAGCGCTTCCCATGGAGCATTCCAAAGATTTGTAGGTTCACTCGCACAGCGTCGCATATTCCTCAGCAAATGGCATGTCGGCAGGCTCCAAATCCATCTGGGTCACCCTGCTCGTAGAATGCAATTAGGCGCTCTCGCAAAAGTAGACATGGCTATAGATGTGTTATAAGCACTGGTGCATAATGAAGAAAGCTTGCTTGCAGAATTAGTAATTTCTTTTGAGTGACGTACTCTCGCGGTGGTGGCCACTATATTTCCACATCAAGCATTCTTTGTAGCCATCAAGTCTTTGACAGGGCCACACTCTTTGCTCAAAAACATGCAGTCATGCACTCATTCGCATGCAGCGTCGCAATGAAAGCGATGATCCAATGTCCACAAAGTCCTCATCCTAAAGGGTTTATCCTTAAAGGTCAAAAAGCGGGGGTGGCACCCCACAAAATTGCGAATTCGCAATTCTACCACGTCAAGGTGGTGAGTTCTGAATGAGCTCCCAGAGCCATCAATCAGCGATCTCCTTGTCTTCGAGACTCTCCTGTTCTCAAGTCTGTCAAAAACGACACCAAGTGCTCTTCTACAGAATATTCTCATCTTCACCTCCAAAATCAAATTCGCTTCCAAAGCACTCACCAATTTTGCAACTTGTTTCTTCCTAGTGGAGCTCCCTACTCGTCCTGCACCATATCTCAAATGTCAAATCGATCTTCAATCTATGCATTTGAGCTGCAAACATGGATGGAGTTTCCTTGGATGAGTTTCGCATGCTAGGGCTCAAGAGCACCCGGGAAGACCGCAAGGATTATTCCCTGGCAGAATTCCATCAATGCTTCGTGAGTCTCTAGCCCTGCATTGCCATTTTGCCATGATTTTTGGGGTGTCAGTCGGTGTTAAAAAAATCCTGGATCTTTAAATGGCACCCATTTTCATCTATTTTCTGCAGCATTTTTTGTCGGATTTCTGCTCATCCTGGCTTTTTATGCTGACTTAACCAAACATTTGCATTTGTCTCCTGATGGACGGGCATTTGCGCTTTTTCCCAGGTACGGTATTTACGCTCATTTCCCCGGAAATGCGCAGAATTTTTGCCTTGAAAACTCGCAAAATGAAAAAAACATGAAACAATGCTAATTACGCTCACTTAAAACATGAAACACGGCTCAAACAACATTTTTTTCCCTCAAATGAGCATTTACTTGTGCTTTTTTTGTAGGGTGCAGGTCTATATACAACTCGGGCTTGGAGGCAAACACTGAATACTTCTCAGTGGCCGACTGCTTGACTTTGGCTAGTTACCATGCCCTAGATGCATATATCCACTATAATCCCATGTGTTCATTAAAAATATAAAACTATACACATATGTTTCTAGATATTTCTACCAGTAAATATTAAAAATATTAAGTAACAGAATATACAGTAATCCCTTCCCTGGTTCATATTAAACCACCCCAAGAAATCATGGAGGTAGGGGATGAAACCACATCTTTGGGACAGGTTTCGGCACCGGAGTGGAAGTTTCAGCGGCTTCAGGGCCTGCCCGCACCGAAGAAGATCGGGTCTTGGCATGGTGTCACTGGGATCAGAGAAATCAGCATCAAATTCCACGGGCAAAAGCGACAATGATGGGAAAACCGGTGGCAACTCTAGATAAAAAAGTAAAGAATGTAGATAGATTTAGATGCTTCATACTTCTGAAAAAACATGTCCCTACACATCAATACATCAATGCGTAGAAATAACCAAGATCTCCAGGTTGGGGAACCCAACATCTTGACATACAACTCCTACAATGCCAGCACTTGTTATAAAATTATAAAACATGATCCTTAATACATCATGGTGATTGATACGGAAACCTCCCCAAAGCGAGGATATTTACCCAAACTTAACATCACTATGGGAATTTTGGTATGGGTGGCCAAAAGTTTCGCTGGCCACACATCAGTTCCAGCAGTTTTTGAACTTCAAAGTGGCAATGGCTGACATCTTCTTGATCTTCCACTCCAAGAATGGCTCACCGAGCAGGGTTTCCATGCTGGTACTGACTTGAGCCATGACGTACAAAGGTCCGCAGAACATAAACTGCACGTCTTCAGGCTCCAATGTATCGAAAAGTTCAGGTGCAATGGTGGTGCCAAGTTTCAATCTGAACACCATGGTTCACAAAATACATATTTGCAACCATGAAACGTGCATGTGTATGTCATTCATTCCATGAATGGCAATGTTGTTAGATTTGGAGCTACCAACACATGTTGGATGGTGCTATCCTGCTATCCCCACCTGACTGGTGCCATCCCTTGGATCTTGAAGTCGCCTCTGGCCGAACCCAAAGATACAAACCACCAGCAGCGACTGTTGATGGGTCACTGAGGTACCGATTTCTGAGGGTATAGAAACATATAGAAACATCATTCTTGTCATTGAACCATCCGCTTGACTTAAGTTTAATCATATTTATTCAATATGTTCTCTCTCTCTCTGCATCGCCGTCTCAAGGAAATGTAGAGAATCAACATTCGCTCGCTGAAGGCGAGCGGCTCTGGACAAACCCCCAACCGCTGATGTATCAAGATCGTGTGTCTCAGAATTGGTCTAGTTTCAGGGAAAATCTGCAGGAAACACACATCAAAATTTGGGGGGTCAAAAACCATGCAAAAACCAGAAAAAACGGGCCAGACCTCCCCCCAACAATCCATTGATTTTGTACATGTTCACAGGTAAAATTCACTTACCCATGATATCCACATTTTAGATAGTAGAATCGCACTTTTTTGGCTTTCCAGCGAGCCCACCTCTGTCTTCGCTTGGCTTCAATGAGCTGCAGCGACAGCTTCCCCCAGCTCCTGTGACTCCATGGTAAACCCATGGAAACACCGTCCCCAGTGGCTTGATCACACCATCAAAAAGCTGTTTTTGGTCATAAGTGGTATTATACCATCCATAAATTCTGGTATTATACCATGCAAACATGGTAGCTTTATGGCATTGGGCTTGCCACCAATTATATCTTATTAATTTATTATATGAATCACTATGGGTGATCAAACGTGACAAAGCCTCAAGATAGAACAATAGATGAAGAAAGGATAACAAAGCAGGCTCTTGTCCCAAAATCGAAAAAAATGGGGCTAAGCTCTTTGTGTACATGATCGATGGCCAAAAAACTCAAATCTGAAATTGCTTCAATCACCTACCCTCAAACTATGGCCTCCCCCTGGTCCTTTCAACTTGAGCTTTCTGAAAGGTTGCGATGAGCTCCTCACGAACAGCCTGAGGGCCAGAAATGGATCCTATGTAGATGGGTATCTTCCTTGGGTTTTAATAGGTCTCAATGGATTTGGACAGCATACAAACATGTACACATGGTGAATTGTGACGCATACAATATTACAGTATATTACAGTCTACAGTATAACTACATCCTCCGGAATACCCTCTGGTAATTTAACGTAGCGAACTGGAAAATCACCATGTTTAATGGGAAAATCCACGAAATAAATCACCATTTTCAATAGCTTTTTGTGGCTGTTTACCAGGCCGGGTTTTTTCGAAGCAGTAGCATTTGCCAAACACATGGTGTCTGTATGCGAAGCGCGGCATTTCTGAAGCCGAACCTCCAGCACGGCTTGATACTGCTGCGAGATTTCTATGGCCTTGGCAGGACATGGACAATCCTAGGGCAAAATTCAGTTGGATTGCATCCATCTGCTTCACCATGCCCAAAATACATCAAAATCCATTAATTTCCATTATATACATATATAAATATATATACTACCACCTATCAATGGGCCAAACTCTGTTCAAACTCTTGACATCTCTCCATGTCTGAGGCAGTGGCAAAGCTTCCATTCTCATCCTCAGCCGATCCAAGAAGCAGCAGCATCCCTAGTGGGACACCAGCCATTCCTGGCTATTAGCACTGGACATGTGCCCTGCAATGCCCTGCACATTCTTTTCTATGTAACCGAGGGGCAAGCTGTTAATGCTTGCGCAACTGGTCCTGATTCTCCCAGCAAAGCTAGTGGAATTGAGACCAGGGCCACCAGCTGTAGGACATGATCTGCCAGCAACACAGCCTGGCTCCCCTATTCCCCCATCTCTGTAGAGCTGGGAAGGCAGGGGTCAAACATGTCAAACACATATTTCAACATCTTCTGACATAGCCAGAAGAAACAAAAAACATGGCATCATGGTATCAATTTTGTTGCAGAATCCATTAGCTCCACCAGTGCCGTCAGCATGGTGTCCCACCTTCAGATCTGAAAAGTTGTAACTGCGATGGCTCCTCGGTACGTTCAGCTGGTTGCGGGAGTCCCACAGAAAAGGGAACCAATGGGGTACCAGAAAACCGGTTTTCGGGTGTTGCTGTGTCGGTTTCAATACACCAACTGAATCCGGATCCAATTGAGATAATTGAGTAGGGTCCACCGCACTGACCCATCTGTTGAACCTCATTATGCCAGGAGGGGTCTGCAAATTCTCCAACCTCCTGCTCTGAAAGGCTTCAATGCCCAAAACGCCACGGACACCATCCGAAACAATTCCGAAACGACAACTTCTGACTGCTGCGGATGGTTTTCAAAAGCCGCGGTGCTGTCTCCGCAGTGGGGCGGCATGTCGGCCCTGGAGGCATTTTTTGATGCTTTGTGTGGGTCTGGAAGGGCTTGAAAGTGAGAAACACATGCTATTGGATGAAAATAACAAGCCTACATGCTGCTCACATAATTACTTGACCAAAGCAAGCCTCCTTCAAAATATCTTAGAGCAAGCATCTGGATCATTATTGATCAGAGCAATATATAGGTCGCACCAATTGTCACGAAACAGTTGCTCGAGCCACCAATTCTCACAAAACAGTTGCTCGAGCTGCTTCAAAAATAAGACAATGACTGTAGCTCATGGAGCTGCCATATACGATATATCCGCCATATATCCGCCATATATCAGTCAGATATCAGCCACATATCAGCCATATACCCTCTGGTAAACATACAAAAACTATGGAAAATCACCATTTATAGTGGATTTTCCCATTGAAAAATGGTGGATCTTTCCATAGTTTTTTGTATGTTTACCAGCCATATATGTCAAGATTTGAGGTTTCCAGCCCCAAATAAAGTCACCACGCGCTCCACCTGGTCACTGTCGATCTCAGCCACCACGCAATGCCTCGATGGTTTTTCGAGGTTTTTCGGCATGGCTGGTGGGTAAACATGGAGAAACCTATCCCATAGGATCCATGTATGGAATATTTACCTACATTGGGATTATTTTAAATTACTTTAGGGGTCAATGTAGGTAACTATTCCATACATGGATCCTTAGGGTATGAGGATAAAACCTATGATAAACCTATATGATAAACAACAGTTCTCCCCATGAGATTGATCCTTCAAAGATACCGAAATGACACAAATATCTACAAATATCACAAATGTACACCAGCTTGATCTCGGTTGCCCAGACGTGGCAAAGAGCAACAAGACGGTTACCTCTGGCCGAGTCAAGCAGCCAGTACAGTTGGGGACAGTTGTGCCACTGCTGCTGGTACCACCCCACAGACCTTGGAGTTGTGCTGCATCAGTGGGACCACCTTGGAATGACAAGAGAACCTGGAGTGGGTGAATAAGAGTATGTACTATTACCATCAGTTATCTATATTCTTCTCTGTCTACTTACCAATTTGAGCTCCGTAAATGCCAGCTTTTGATTGCAGGGGCTTGGAAAGTCTTGAAAGTTGCTCAAACGCGCCAACATGGCCAGCCACCAAGCATGCGAACGCAGGAAAAGTGCGGTCACTTTTCTTCCAGCATGACATTGTCTTGCGTGGGAGGCTATCGGGAAGGCCGCGTTGTTTGCTACTGAACAGGACTATCCGCCTGTCACCACCCTCAAAACCACAGCACCGTGTTTGAATCTTTGCACATTATATACTTGGCACAACTACACCACGAAGACCCTGAGAGCATCCCAGCATCTGATTCCTTGCAACTTTGAATTTCACGGAGCTGCCTGGAGGGGACATCGAAACGTTGCCAAGTTCATGTTCTTTCCATCCGTTTCCCATCCTATCGGCCAAAAAACGCCAAACTCTTTTTGCTAATTTTTTGCTCACATCCATCCTCCAATTTCCCCTCCACTTCTCCACATTTCTCCATCCGAATCTCAGTCACTCAGCTGTACGGATTCCTGGGTGTCCCAGGCACCCCATCCGAAGCCCAACTCGCTGCCCTTGGGCGCTGGAAACGCCACTGCAGGCAGCTCCGGCAGGGCTGCTGGGGCTGGAAACGCGGCCGCGGAGTCCGGCCAAGCAACTTCCTGAGGAGGACAGGTTCCAGCGTTTCATCCACAGTGAGACAGTGAGATCTTGGAATATACATGAACATAACATGCAAATCATATTCAATCGGTGATTACAATTGATTCTTTATGACGATTTGGGTGAGTATTATCATGAATCATCTTTTTGTGCAATATGTTAGTTATATGTTAGTTAAAAACTATTACAGTATCTGATTATAAAGTATTCCAAACTCAAGCGATTTTCCAAACCTTCCCATGCTGCAACCCACATCACAGCTCGATCAAAGCTCCCATCGAGCAGGGCTGGACGAGTCCAGGGCTTCCCACTCTGGGGGCCGCTGGATGGGCGCAGTTACCTGCGCCATGGACTGTGGGTGAGGGATAGGCTGTGCCGACAGTGGAAGATCAATCTGGAAAGATGATGAAAAATGAACCAGTGAATAATCTATCAATTTTCTATTGGAAAGTATGTGCCAGTATCAATTGGATCTGACATCAATTGAACGCATGACTTTTGACTGAATATTGGGACAATTGACCATTTTTCGAGGGTACCATTGCCATTGCCATTGTCGCACTTGATCAAACACTGCGTTTTCAAACCCCTGGAGACCAACTCAAAGTAAGCGAATATCATGTAAATAGTCGACGGTTTCCAGCCAACAGATTGTAAAGCTAAGCTATGCTGAGCTCACGTTCCAATTTGTCCAAAGTAAGTCCATACATACGGCCAAGTGAATTAAACTCTTGGACAAGTTGCAACTGTGAGTGGCACCCCTGGCCCTGCATCATTTGACAGATATCGATCATGCTTTGCACTTGGATTACTTGGGACTTGAAACACCTGAACTTTGATATGCCCAGGGGCCGCATAGTTTGGCGATGGACTTGGAGACGTGGGTGTTCGAACTGTTGCCTCAAACCTGGGATCCAGCTTTGGTACTTCAATCTCTGCGGATCATCCCGGTGGAACAAGATGGAACCAGTAACTCTTTCAAAAAAATATAGATAGGTATAAGTGGATAGATATCCTATGCTAGATATCTTATGATAGATATACATATAGATATCCTATCATAAATATTCATTACTATCAAATTTCCCGAGTAAATCTTTAGATAATCCATAGATAATCCTATGATTCATTACTATCACACATCGAAGCACGGCCGCCACGGCAAGGAACGTGACCCAACCGGACCGGCATTGCCGTCTCTCCAGTGATGAAGGGACCTACCAGCTGGACCCAGGCGACCTAACTCTGAGTTGCAGCTGTGATCTGGGATGCAAGCATATAATATCATATAATACGACATTATAATATATGGTAATACATTGTGATAATTACATGATAATACTCTATATAATTATATATATATATATATATTTATAGGTAACATAACTGGATGAATATGTCACCAATCTCTGTTGTTCGTTTTTTCCTATGTTTCTTGGATTTTCTTGGGGTTTCCATTAAAGACCACCATTTCTGGTCACGTTGTGGTGAGGCCGCTATACTATCTATACTCTAACAAAACATCTTTTTGTAGCCGGCAAGGACCATCATCCGTGTCAAGGTCGCAAGCACAAACTGCAACATGACATTGAACCCTTTCAGCTAGTACCAGCCAGGGTCACGAGACTGACGATGAAGCCAGTCTGGCCTAATCATGATGGTATGACCCCCAACACATAGTTCTGTAGAACAGGAGATCTCTCTCTCTCTCTCTCTCCCCCTCCATCGCCATCTGTCAAGACAGGATTTGCACCAAATATCCGCACTGCAAGACGCAATTGAAGTCGTTCTACAGCTACAGCTACATCAGCTTACAAACCATCTACAAGTTCTCAGCGCATCCTTCCGCCAAATGCATCCGTTTACCAAGGACCATTTGCAAATTTCAATCTTCATCACAGGCACCCGCTTTTCTCC